AAGTATTTCATCTCTTATGCTCGCTGCGGCCAATTCGTCTGATACCTTGGCGACCTGAGTTGTTGCTGGGGGACTGAATCACTAAGTTATCGAATCATGGACTGAATCAATGCCTGAGTTTTGGAGTCCTCGAATCACTGTTCCTTGACGACAGGCTACATACGATACTGTGAGACAATTATAAACGTTAACCCGTAGAATATACCAGACATGGGAGACAAAGGCCCACGAACGCTTACTCCAGATAACGCCAAACTAACAAAGCGAATATAAAGATCATGGTATTCGCTGTCCCATTAGCATATTGGCGTCCCACAGTAACACTCTCTCATCCCAGCCAACTGTAGCTACCCAACCACCCATGCCAAACAGACACCAATCAACTCCTGTAACGAACTCGGTATGCCGATTCATGATACCCATCTGAGTACCTATTGAAGGTGCCATCATTGGACCCTGTGGTTGTTGTTGCTGCTGCGTCGACCCGTCGTTCCATAAACGCACCGTCATATCGTAACTGGCACTGATGAGAGTATCGCTTGAGTGAGGACTCCATGCAAGTCGTCGAACAGCATATTCATGACCCTGCATAACAGACATGGGACCACCACTGGGATTCCGTATGTCAAAGGTTCGCAGAACTCTGTCTACACCACCTGTAGCTATGACCGTATCTCTGTACTTGTTCCAGTCGTGGGTGAGGATCTCGGCTGGTGCAGAAGCACCAGGCGATGGTTGAGGCCCTGACGCATGGACGGGTATTGTCGCTGTGAGATGGTACTTGGCCGATGATGGTGTTCGGAGGTCGAAGATGCGCAGGTGAGAGTCGGAGGACACAGCGGATATCAAGGCGGGGCTGGAAGGACAGAAGGAGGTGCTGTAAGTGCAAGTTCCAATAGGAAGCGTCTTTATCGAGTGGTTGCGTGTCGGTGACCACTATAAAGAATTAGTCTTTGGATTCCTTTGTGAATTGAATGCGACTGGACGTACGATTTTGACTGTACCGTCCCAGGAACTGGATATGAAAGTATCTTTAGTTATAGGGTTCCAGCAAACCGAGAACGTTTCTCTTTTGTGTTCATGGAAGTTCATAACGGGGAAATCGTTGACGCCCAAATCGAAAAGTTTCAACGATCCATCACCGCAAGCGACAATCATCTGGTTCTCATTGATCTCAGACCAAGCCAAATCGTACAGCGCATCGTTTGTATCGAACCTGCGACACAGCCAAGTCAGTCTCTGCCCAGCATTTCAACATCCTAGAACATCGCATACGTTTTCTCAACTTGAACGCCCTGCGCTGTTAACGCAAGCGCAAATACGCGACCATTGCCTACAATGCCAAAATTGGAAGATGCCGCGACGGCGATTCGAGAGTCGTAGTATGGGGAGTATTTAACGGCATAGGGATTATACCCTTGCGTTCGATATTCTAGCATTGCAGCCATGGTGCCGGAGGGGAGAACAGGCGCGTTTATTATGAGTTGTATTATGGTAGAGCGAAGCTACGGTAGACAATTGCTTGCCTGGGATTGGAGAGCTTCCCCTCGAAGCTACACCTACTGACATGTGCCTCGGTTTCGGGAACCACACCGGGCCGCGGGGCAGGTGCTGAGTATAGGTCTAACCGGGGTCTGCGTCATGAACGGGGCTATCGACCAACTGAAAGCACTTAATGAGTATCACGTGCTTTCGTGTCTTGTAATTTACGAGTGTCGCGTTACTCTGCTACCCCTTTCCCTTTACTATCACGATATGCTGGTTACGTGCCAAGAATTTACTGCCAGCAGGGATCGCATATGACGTTACGCGATTGAGACTATGAGAGCTTTCTTGACACGCCCAAAACGGAAAGCATCTCCAGAGCTGCGATCACAAAACACGGAACCAGAAGAGTCAACCGAAGTCAAGTTGGCACTGTTGTCGTCTCTGCATCCACAGCTCGATCAAGAATACTTGCTTGATATCTTACTGGCGCATGATGGATCCGTCTGTGAAGCATCAGCGTCACTTAAAGTCCAGGTCCCTGTGAAGAAGGGTCCCCGGGTCGTTGGATACCAACAATCCTTGAAACAATATACCTCCTCGACAAGTGACTCTAGTACACCTACTAAGAAGAAGCTCAAGTCTAAAGCGGGAAGTACTCTACATCTTTACGACCCTGAGGACGTAGCTGAGCATACCCCATGCACTATTATCCATAACTTCCTGCCTCCTGAAGAGGCCAACCTCTTACTGGAAGAGCTACTCGAAGAATCAAAAACCTTCGAGAGAATCACATTTCAGCTATTCGAAAATGTAGTTGCTAGCCCTCACACATCTAGCTTCTACGTTGAAAGTTATGATGAGATTCAGCGTCAGAAAACAGAGTATCACTACAATGGTGGTCGGCTCACGGTAGATATCCACATGTAAGACGTAACATGGAGCATTTGATTAATCGTATGTAGGATGTCCGGCGAATCACACCTCAGCTTGTCAACGTGAAGCCAAAAGTACAAGAAGCTGTCAACGCTGAGATTCAGAAACGAATCAAGATTCGGTATCCTGGCGGCAAGAAGTTGAAATATCAATCCCCGAACCCTTGGGTTCCAAACTCGGCCTTTGTCAATGCCTATATAGGTCCGCAGCAGAACGTGGGCTGGCATAGCGATCATCTGACATACCTTGGTCCAAGAGCTGTCATCGGATCGATTTCTTTGGGCGTTGCTCGCGAGTTTCGTGTCAGAAGAATACTTCCCAAGGACAACGATACCAGAACTACCGAGGACCAAGACGCAGAGGGTCAAATATCGATTCACCTTCCCCACAACTCGCTGCTAGTAATGCACGCTGAGATGCAGGAAGAATGGAAGCACAGCATTGCACCAGCATTATCTATCGATCCGCATCCTATCTCAGGAACAACTCGTATCAACATCACGTACCGAGACTACCGCGCCAACATGCACCCCAAGCTCACGCCCAGATGCCATTGTGGGCTACCGTGTGTGCTAAGGGTTGTGACGAAGAAGAAGGATAATTTTGGGAGATACTTTTGGATGTGCTATGCTAATTCTCCGGGGCAAGAGAATTGTGGTTTCTTTCAGTGGGCGGAGTTTGATGATGATGGGAATCCTCTGTTTAAGAAGAAGTTGGGTAACGCGTAGCAATAGCTGTCTTCCCTCTTGTAACGATTCAACGATCACGAGGTTTTGGAACAATGCTGATGACCGAATATATTCATGAGTAAATTGATAGTAAAATGATAGTATTGTATGTTCGTTTCTCGTAGAAGTGCTGACTCTGGGCACGTGAAAGGCAATAGTGGGTTACTGGTGGTGTGTAGCTGGGCTGTGAGTATTCAATACACTGGATATTTTAAGAACGTTTTGCTTGAGGCACGTTTAAACACATGCGTTTGAAATTAAGAGCGTGAATTTGCCCCTTACATAAGAATTGAACGATCTCTTCTTTTGCAGCAGAGCGTAGACTTCAGCTTCCAGAAAGTTCACACGCAACCACTCCCCCAAAGCGAGGTAAGTAAATAAAGAAGGACTTATCGCGACACTCTTGAAGAACCAAATCCTGGAGTTTTATATTAAGTTTATTAAAGTCCACTTTAGGCTAATTTGACGATCTGGTATCAAGATGAAACTGAACTGGCCCTTCACCCGCTCTATGAGCTCAACTTCGTGACTGCCGACACAGTTGGCAGTAAATAATCTTGTCAGTACAGCTTAGCATCGAGATCAGACCCAAGAATCCGGTTTAATTGTCTTAGATCTTCTTGATTTGCCCCGCAATAGCCGCAGATGCCTCTATTCATGTGACTTTGCCGCCCTCGTATCCAACTTCATATCTGATACTAGCGCACTCGTCTATTTGTAGCTTCGAAAGTTGCTTTACGATAGCATTAGAGAATTTCGAACACTTTTTGCTCTAATGAATTTGTGTTTTTCAAGGCAGTGGGAGACCAGCGACTGGGTGAAATGGGCACCTGGGACATATTGATACTCTTTTAAAGGCCCGTTGGAGGTTTTACAGGTTGAGGCTGGCCACCAACCCTTCACGCTATCTAACAGTTGCATCAAGAAACCAAAGTCAAGAATTGATTGGTTGATGCTGTCCAGTAAAAGCGACTTTATGTACAAGTTATTCCCAAGTATTTTAACCAGTTGATCAACAACAAAGCTGAGGGCTTAGATTCTATCATGCTACAGGCTGCACGGTCAAAACAAAGCAGTACACACGAAGGTTATTGAAGTTCTTTGTACCTATGATCTGACTTTAAATTTGATTAATGGTTGTCGCAGAAATACTGGTTCAGAGGTTGTCTTAATAACGAACGGATATTGCTTCCGATTGCCAAGACTCAGGTGGGTCGTTCTTTCCGCTGTCAGACATCCGTCCGCTCAAGATCAGCCACTGGGATTCTGTCAGTGTCATGGCCCCTTCCCATTAGGAAAGTCAATTTCAACCTCACCTCATCCCAACTTCGTCTCGTCACAAGCCCGTCCGTTGTTTTGGTCCAGAGGAACCTGCTAAAGCAATTCTTTCCTTACAGACAACTCAACGCAACTTCTCAAGGAGTGGGTGAAGAATCTGACGTCATAAGCAACTTCAACAAATTCTTCTTCATCTTCCTGAGCTGTCAAGAAAGGACACAGCATGTCGGAACTTAGCTTTCCTGCCTCCTCGGCAGCCATGCTAGAGGCCCGTCTACCACCGACTACGGCATCTGAGCCTTCGTCACGACCTTTCGTGACTCTGACTTTTGCTACCTCGCTCGATTCTTCGCTATCCTTGGCACCTGGCGTCCGCACTCGACTTTCTGGGCCTGACTCTAAAGCCATGACGCACTACCTTCGTTCCCGTCATGTTGCAATCCTTATTGGCGTTTCTACCCTTCTGGCTGACTCTCCGGCTCTCAATTGCCGCATCAGTGGTGCTACGAGCCAACCCCGGCCTATTGTTATTGATCCCCATCTTCGCTGGATTCCTAGCCATGCAGACAAAGTCCTGGAAGTGGCGCGTCTTAACAATGGCCTGGCTCCCTACGTACTAACCGGAGTGGATGCCCAGAGCTTACCTACCACGAGTGTCGCAGTACTCGAGGAGCATGGCGGCAAATACATCCACGTACCTACCACATTGGGGCCTAATGGCCGAATGCGCTTCGACTGGCGCGATGTGTTTAACGCTCTACTTCACGAGAATCTTCCCAGTGTTATGGTAGAGGGAGGCGGTCAGATTATCAACTCATTGCTCGATCCTCGGTTTCACGACTCAATTGACTCTGTAATTGTTACCATTGCACCTACTTGGCTTGGTCAGGGAGGAGTAGTAGTGTCTCCAGACCGTCTTCAAGACCAAGCCGGAACCCCTATCCCAGCCGCGAGACTATCCAATGTCTCGTGGCATCCTTTCGGAGAAGACGTTGTCTTGTGTGGCACGTTGCACAGCTAGTGCCCAAAATTAGGCTCTATATACAATCACGCCTCCGCCTATACGTTCCTGACTGTATTTGCCTCTACCGTCCTTAAGCACAATGATGCCGCCTTCCTGTCACTGTCCATGAATGAGATATCAGAGAGGCTTTGAGTTCTCCGATGTTTTGATATTAGGTGCCGGTCATTTTGGTCAGACATGACCCATCAGCTTGATTTCCAAGCTTCGGAGAGGATAGTACGCGATCCCGGTGACGATAAAAGCCGACTCGAAGCCAATGTCGCCAATTTGCCGACCTATAGGTCCGGTGAACCATGGCGTGTCCATTGAAGGGACGACCAACCCAAGGCTGATGATTGAAGCACCAATGGCAGCCAGACCGGTCGGAAGTCTTCGTCCTTGATTCCATATCTTTGAGTCAAACGAGCTGTAGTCTTTGTTTCGGAAAACCACTATCTCTTCGATGATCACAGCGTCGAAGCATCCTGCCCAGTAGCCAATCACAGACAGGAAGTTTGTCAAGGACTCTTCCCATTGCGCTGCCGCATAGATGGACATTGGGATCATAATAGCCAACGTGGCGATAATGAAGAGAAACCGTGGTATCCTAGTGAAAATGGGAACAAGCATTTGTAAACACAAAGCGACCGAATAATAGCCCAGCACCATGTTTCCCACGATGCTCACTGCAAGCACGACAAGAACGAATTTGCCAAACCCACCAGCTGGTCGGAGCATCTCAGCCAGGACGCCGCCTATCCCGTAACCATCCCAGGCTGTTTGCCACGACTCGACATTTGGAATAGCACCTCCAATAGCAGCTCCGAGGATGAGCAAGGGCGTCGAAGGGATTAGGAAGCCAAGATATACGCAGGTAAATACTTTTCGCCTGTTACGCTGTCAGCTCGCTGCATCAATTTGTCGTGGAGGCATGAGCACTTACTTGGCTTCTTTGGGGTTGTGGTATACAGTGAAATCCGAGACGGTTCCTCCAAAGGTCATGAAATACCCTGCCATGAGACTCCCATACCCGATGACAGTCTTCACAGTTGCCGGGTCATGGTCAGCCTGGTCTACCAGATGCTTTCCACCACAGCCAACGGCAATAACTATGGCAACCAGATTTGGTAGCCACTGCCATCGCTGCCACAGATGAAGCGCTCGATAGCCCATGAAGGCGAGCAAGAAGCTGAGGATGCAGACAATGCCGATGCCTACATTGACGCTGATGTTGGCTTCTTCATTCACAGAAGCGATAGCCTGGCCGCTCACGATTGATCCAATGAGCGAGAACCCAGTTACCGTACCAGCATTAAGAAGTAGTGGTATGACACCGAGATATAAACTGCAAGAGTCGGACACATGCAGCATCAGCGGCGGTCTCCAAACGAATACAGGTCCAAGACTTACCCAAACGAGTATCTCGCTTGTATCATCTGCCGCATTCCCGTTTTGTATCCTCCTAGACTGATGAAGGCCGGGGGTAGGCATGTCACAATATTGAAGAAGATGATGATCAACGAAACATCTCGCAGACCCAAGCCGTATACGACCGTGCCGAGGGCTCCAGTGGGTAACCTTCTCATTGTCAGCTCCGGGAATATTGTCTACAGTTTCCGCAACTAACGGTAGAATGCATAGTAAGCAGGTGAAGAAGACTGTGAAGAGGTTACTGAGTTGCGTCTCAGTTCTTCCCTCTGGTGGTACTGGTCGAATTCCATTTTCCTCGACTCCCGCCTCAAGTAACAGCTTGTACCATTTCGAAAGAGAACTGGTTATTCTGTTCCCAGACTCTGAAATACTGTGCATGTTCTCGTCTCCCATGTTGGTTGTCGTGTTGATGGCTACATCGTGTTCGCGGTTTGCCTCTAGGTCCTTCTGCGCAGTCATTGTCTGTTCAGTGGCGGCTTGTGGTATTTGTTGTGTGATGGGGTAAGGAAGAGCGCGGCTCGCTGGAGCTCTCAAAAATGGATATTTGATACAGCCTTCAAATGCGGACCGCAGCAAACATGCTCATGAGCTTTCCGTCTTTCTGCAGTGCAATGCAGTGCATCTCACCCTACGAACAGCCCGCCACAGACTTGCTGGTAAACTGACAAAACTCACAGATCAAACCCCAAACTAGACCCTTAGCCTACAGAGCACAGGAGGTGTGCCAAAAACCAGGTCTGTCTCGTTTCAACCCACAATCGGATCCAGGGACGGGTTTAACTCGGATCTCTACAATGCATCACGACAATTCGGCTTTTGTTCCGATCACAGTTTGCTTGGTGTCTTGGAAGCAAATGTGACGAGCCAGTTGGATCCTGAAGCCGCCCTAGAACCTAATAAGGTTGGTTGTGCAACTCCCTCGGGGCTAAACCACTATGATCTTCTAGCTTCTCAAGGGATTCAAGTGGTTGTTTGATGAATATTCATCCGGTAAGACCGGCCCACACAACCACCAAAACAACGGCAGGGCTTTCTTCATTTGCATGCTTACCAACTACAATCCATCCTTGACAAGTGATCCTTCGGCGATCATCACCCTGCATATTACTGGTGTAAATGGCGGTACTACGGCCCGTCTAGGAACACATGCTTGGCAACGTTGTAGGTATGCATGTGAAAACGCGCATGCCAAATGCTTGCTAGGGCATCCAGGAACAGAAACCATATCGTGTACAATTGCTTTTGTGCGAAGGTATCCAGAATCTGACACGCATCCGGACGATCTTCTTCAATCGAGTCAAGCCAAGCACTGATACTGGGTATCCATTAATATATTCGGGCACTGCTATTGTCTACAATAGACTACCTGCATGTCGGATACCAAGGGAGGCACAGACTTACTGCCGTCGGTAGTAAAGCCTGATAACGGGGACAAACCAGACATGCTCCATCCTTGTTTGGCTGGCATAACCAAGCCCTGTCACAGTGAGTAGTTACGCGTCTCATGGATTATAATATACCATGACTCAAGAGCAACCACATAAGCTTCTGCTCCCTACTCTCGCTACCACGTACATCAATTCAGGCCCACTAAATGATGAACGGATCATAGATGTTAGGTCTTACAGGGGAAGCGGAATGGATGAGGTGTGCAGATCTGAAGCTTTAGTCTTGCTACCTACCTTGGTTGTCAAGAATTAGGAAAGAACACAGAGGAACACATCAAAGTACTTCTTCCGTATATGAATCCCTGGAAAGAGCACCAACTGGCTAGTCTATTAACGCCATCACTCGCGCTTTAATACCTATTCCAGACACTAGCAATCCTTTCGTTCACTGTAAGTTTAGAACGACAGAATGATATGACAGCTCATTTAAGAGAAAGCCTTGAAGCTAATAGCAACCCCTGCTAACTGGGCCCTGGATTTGCAGAAACTGCAGAATGACTAGTGTCAACAGAGTTGCAATAGCGCAAGAAATGTGATGCTGATTCCAAAAAGGTGCATCTCTCAATAAGAAATGAAGCGCCGCGCTTGACTGTAATAAGTTAGATCGCAATGGTAAGTCGAGGTGACGGCACACGACGTACTAGGTTCATCGGCCCAACTTGACGAGTTTGTTTCTGTAAATTTGCATGCTATGGTTTCTGGTAGAGATTGCTTTCTCACTATTCTCAGTTGGTATTGAAGAGTGCCTCAGCCTTGGAAGTTCGCGGTTTGATGACACAATCGAAGTGCTCCGGGTGACTGGTATCCGAGATCGTCAGTAAATTCGTCACCGAAGATGTTTCATATTGCCGAAGTGACAAGCTAGCAAGGAAGTAAGGTAGTATTTAAGGGACTGTGGGGTCGAGGCAGGGCAGGGATATGTCGTGGGGAGGGATTGACCGACCAGGTTCCACCATTGGTAAATTGAACTCGAGGCTCAATTGGTGTTCCATCTTGAGCCACCTTCTTGCAGAATTCCAGCGTGGAGAGCATTGTTGCTACCATGATCCAAACACTGTTGTCTGCCAGAAATCTACCGACGCAAACTCTAGAAGCTGCTGTTAGGAACCGCGACTCGGGCTTCAATTAGCGCTGGTCAAGCACGTACCGACGTCCGAATCCAAAGTTGCCGATGGGATATGGTTCGCCCCCGCCATACCTGTCAGGGTTGAAGTCTTGTGGATTTTTGTAGACCCGCTCATCATGCGCTATAGCATAGGCATTGGCGTAGACAACAGTTCTGAGCTTTGTCAGTACTTTCCCCACTTCATAGACATGGACGACGATCGTGATAGTATCAAAGAAAAGTGTTCTCACCCTACTGATTATTAGTCGTTTACACCTTACGAAAAGGAGGTGGATTTTGCCACAAATACCTTTAGGAATGAACATGCCCTGGTAAGTATCATCGCGAAGTGATTTGTGTGGGATCCCTGTGGTGAGTTAGATGTTGTGTGTTCCTAGATGCCCATCCCAGGAAACTGACCCAAAGGGGCCAACGGCGACCATCTTTTTCAGACAGACTGAGGTCAGCTTGCGGTGAACTGTTGGTAAATGTTTTGCAATTCAAACGCACCTGTAAGTCTCCTGCACGATGTGCTCGATGTACGGTAAAAGGGGTCGGTCTGAGAATCGAGGCAGTTTACCAGATCCAATCACAGCATCAAGCTCAGCTTGTGCTTTCTTTTGTATCTCGGGGTGAAGAACCATGTTGAGGATAAATATAACACAAGTTGCCCATGTCTGTGGGCAAAGATTTCAGTTTTCAAAATCAATCGTTATGGTCAAGTAAGCTCACCGTGTCTGTGCCTGCAATGAAAACCGCGCCTGCAGCTCCTTTGATATCGTCTAGAGTCCAATCTTGTTCACATCCCTGTAACTTATTGTAATCATACAGATGTAGTAGCTGGTGTGTAAGAGATGTGTTGGTTGAAGAACGACCATTGCGTGTCAAGAGTTAAGTCAACGCTTTGGTCGAGTATATGTGATGTGCAGAGTGTTTCATCCACATGCGATCGACTTACATGTTCAGCCAAGGCGGCAGCAAAGGGAACATCGTGTAATTTCGTGATAGCCCATTGCCATTGTCGAGCAAATCGCAGAGACCAGTCACGGATAAGCCAATCGGGGAGATAACGAACTAGACTCGGCCAGTTAGCAAACATACGTTGAACCCCTGTCTGGCAAACTGAGTTGCTGGACGAAATTGGTTAGACAAGGTACTGGGTACTCGTACCAAGGGGAACTAGGTCGACAACACTATTTGCAGGAACTCCACCATTACCGGTGGCATACATTGCATCGTTGGCAATTCGGATATACGGGTCGTCGTCACTTGTTACTTTGGTGCCATAGCTCACTTGCAAAACAATGGCCACCGCGAATCGACGCAGGGACTTTTCCCATGTATCAGGGGTTTCGATGATATCCTTCACCGTGTGGTGGGCTTCGTTCCTCTGCAGCTCATGCCATTTTCGAACGCTGGTGTTGCTAAAGGATGTCTGGAGGAACTTTCTGTGCATTTGCCAACATTTACCAAACGGGAGAAAGGTCAATGTCTTGCCCCAACCCATCCTGCCAGAAATCCACATGAGTACAATGCCATAGATTTTAGAGTCCAGGGGTCTCACTTACACTTCCAATAGAGTGAATCTGGGTCGGTCACTGAAATTGGCGCCCTTCTTCTCCAGAATGTCCTTGGCAAGCTCTGCACTGTGAAGAACAATCGTAGAGCGGCCCAAAGACCTGACATGGATGATATCCGAGTCTTTTGAAACTAATGTCAGTAGCGTCGCTTTAATTTAGAACGACGCAAACTCACTGTACTCTTTGGACCATCTTGAATATACTTTGGCGGCGTTCTCCTGGGGTATAACGCGGGTGTGACCAAGAAGAAATTCTGATGGAGGTCCGGGTGGTAGGGGAAGCTTCGGTTGAGAGTGTCTAGCCCAAAATAGTAACAACACCACAAAGAAAAGAGCCAGGCAAAATTGCTCTATCATGATAGGCAGTATCTTGTCGTGAGCGAGTCAAGCTGGTAATTGAAGAAGCGCATCCACGGGTTGTTAAGGAAGACGCAGAGCAAAGAGAAATGATTCGAAAGAAAATGACAGTTGAGCAAGCACTTGGCTACATCAATAGTCCCTTCCTTCAGTGAATCATTGTCATCCATCCCGTCAGGAAGGATCTATGGACCCTCCCACGGGAAGCCTAGAGCCACAACATACCTAAGGTCACTCCATTTCGGTAACAGGATAACACCCAACGCTCCTTGGCAGCTTCCTTGCACAGTCAGGCAGGTGCAACCAAATGGGCAGTCGCTTCTTAGGTGCCCAGGTAGTCCAGAGGGCTGTCTGCCTCGGGATGTCTACTTGAACCATTCCATCTCTTATGCTTCTACAGATACCAATTCATTTGTTTGATATCCTGACGCCCATCATCGGGATTTTCCCGAGACCCAGGTGGTGCAGTTTGTGGATATCAGCCTCCAAGATGCCCGCCCTTTACTACGCGACGATCATATTTAGTCTCAACAATTACTGTACGTCACCTGATTTGGTTGAACTACTGAGGTCTAAAGAGCTTCCCGTCTGCTAAAGACTTCGGTTCCATTGCATCGGGCCCAGACCCTAGACTGCCCTGTAGCTGCAGGTGACATACCTAACAGAACAACAAATCACTCTCCCATACTTCCAGCGGCGAATCCTTCAGACATCCTGGTGGTTGCTCATGGATAGATGGGTAATTTAGTGGGCTTTCTACGGGATCGACCGGGCACTTATTCGACGCAACCACGCAACGCATCATCAGCATGATTCCGCTCTCTCCCGCGCTGCTTTCCATCTTCGGATAGCTTCTGATCTAACAAAACGCTATCAGGAGCTGAGGTCCGAATCATCAGAGCCAAGGCAAAGTTCCCAAGGGCGCAAAACAGAGGTCCCCTGAGAGACGCCATTCATGATTTGGCTTTCCTATGGATAAGTGTCTACTGATTTGGTTGGCCTAGCTCAGCTGCTAAACAAGATTAGTGATTCTGCAAACCTTAGTTGCCGTTACCACCGTCGCTCTACACCAGGGGCCGTTACCTATTTCACTGGCTTTGGGCTATCGATCTTCGGTAAACTTCACTGAAATGAGACGAAGATGTGCTTCGGTGCCGACACTAAAGTGTGTAAACCGGCACTTGATCCAGGTTTTCCATTGGGCCGTCGGAGTAGGACCGTCGTCGTTTACTGTACTTCACGCGCGCTAATACAACGTGGGATTATATTGGGCCGCCCATCCGTAAAATCCATCGACCACCAAGAAAAAGTCCTTAGACTGGTATAATTTTACCTAACTGTGAAAGCCTCACATGCGCTACTTTCCGTGAGTACAGAATTTCTCGTAGACGACTTGCCCGACATGATCACCATCGCGTAACACCGTTGCACTTTCCTTATGGACGGATGGAAGTTGGCAAGATCACTCCACAACAACGTGGCTTGCACGGGCTTTCCACTTTCCACATGAACGGCGCTGCCCCTCTAACTACCCCTCTATGAGGTAGTTAGCCTTACTGGGGCAGGCGGGGTTAGTCGCACATTGCACCTGACTCTTGGACAAGACGACAAGTCATGGAATTCTTCACCGCAAATACCCAGCAACATCAATTGAATCAAACAATCCTCACGGCGTCATCACGATAGCTACTTGGGCACAGACATCCAAAGAAGCATTGATCTCTGCGAGTCTTATTTCGCTACGCGCTCGCCCTCTTACTCTTACACCCCTCAGGCTATCCACTCGCCTCAACTTTTTCGCAAACGGTTCAGTAATAACGTCTCCTCTCGTGGAAACGTCGCTTTGAAACCCATTGCCACCTTGCTCTTTTAGCCGCGGCAAACCGTCTCGAACTCTTTTTCATCATGGCTTCTCACGCTAGCGCTCCGCAGATTACGGTCCTGGGCTCTCTCAACATGGATCTCGTTTCCTACGTCCCACACCATCCCCTACCTGGTGAGACGCTCACTTCTACCCATTTCAACACTTCGCCTGGCGGTAAAGGCGCCAACCAGGCTGTCGCATGCGGCAAGTTATCCCGGGATTCTGACCTGTCAAACCCTTCGGCCAACGTCTCCATGGTGGGCGCCGTGGGTGCGGATCCTTATGGTACCCTCCTGCTTGACAGTCTTCGCTCTTTTGGCGTTGCTGTTGATGCAGTTTCCGTGCGCCAGGACCAGAAGTCTGGAATTGCTATCATTATTGTCGATGAGCCCTCTGGTCAGAACCGTATTATTGTGTCTCCTGAGGCCAACCATGCTCTTCAACCTGCCGACTTCGAGACTCTTCCGGGGCCCCGCCCTGACCTCCTCATCATGCAGCTCGAAATTCCTTTCGATACTGTCATGCAGGCTTTGAAGGTCGCTAAGAGGGATGGCGTGCCCGTTCTTCTTAACCCAGCCCCGGCTCAGCCCTTGCCTATGGATGCTTACGATGGGCTAGCCCATCTTGTGGTTAATGAGACCGAGGCGGCGATTCTTGCAGAGTGTGCTGAATCTGAACTCGATGACCTTGACGGTTTGAACCGTGTTGGTAAGGTCTTCATCGATCGCGGAGTCCACAATGTCATCATCACTCTGGGAGGTCGCGGCGTCTACTTCGTCAACAAGCAAGGCCAGAGCGCATTGCTTCCTGCCACTAAGACGTCTGTAGTGGACACTACAGCCGCCGGAGACACCTTTGTTGGTTCTTACTCCCTGGCGGCTGTAGCCGCCCGAGGTGGCCAGTTTGATATCGAAGCCGCCGTCGCCACGGCTAATCGAGCAGCTGCCTTGACTGTTGCGCGCAAGGGCGCCCAGATCTCTATTCCGTGGAAGGACGAACTATAGTCAAGGTAGTGCCAAATTTTCTTTCATAAATAAACCAACAGAAACAATCGATTCGGATCCCACTACGTATACGGACCTTCCTGCTCTGCCTACTCTCTAAAACCATGTCGCCCAACCCCATTTACTTGTCTCTTTTCTACCTTTACCACGGGCCGGAGTCGCTGTTCGGCGTTCTTTATTGTCCTCGCGCATTGTTTCACGGTTAATTTCCCCATTTTGAGCTGGTGTCGACAAATACGCCATCGAGGGGAATAGCCCCCTCAGAGTCTCGACCCCTACCAGTGACCGCCTCTTCCACAACGTGCTGATGTCAGATTCTCTCGAAGAACTTCTTTGACCCCGGAGAGAAGAAAACTTGGTTCCATCGTGGGAGAATTCCGCTTCTCTCGATTGTGTGGAGGCTGGACTGCCTGCCCCCATGTCCCTGTCGAGCCTCAGCGCCAGCGGGGCTTCTGGGTTCTTCCTCGTTGTGCAAGTTGACACGTAACTGCCACATCTGGAAGAGTCTTCTCTTGTTCCCTGTCGGGAGCGGGAACGCGATCGAGATAGCGTTGCTATGTGATCAAGCCTGACCTTGTCGCGATGCCGCTGAAGACTTGCGTTTCTCTGGGGAATAGAAGGAGTGTGCCTATAACTCAGAGGGGTTTGTATCTGCGTTCTCGGCACCTCATTATCCGGCTGATACTCAATTAGCCGATACCTCTATGAAGACTAAAGTGACTTACAGCAGCAATTCGTCTTAATACCTCCCTCGCGTTTGTGGCACCCTAGTGTCTCTCGATCAGTGGTAACAACGGATTGGGCTCTGAAACTGGTGCAGGAGACCAAAGTGACATAGCATTGTGTACTTTGACAGAGGCCGTGGCCACTGTCTCGATCTTGCTGTTCATGGTGAGCGTCTCGCCGCTCATGCTTCCCATATCGTGAGATTCTGGAAAGGCTGAAAGGCGATGTGACATTCGCACCGTCATATAGCTCACGGTAGAGTCGCCGAGCTCCTCTTCGAGTGCTTCTATCAAGTCATCAATCTCTTGGGATGTATATTCTTGTCTCTCTTTTTGCATCCCTTTAGCGACATGGACTCTTATCTTGACTAGAAGGAAGATACTGGATCCAGGGTCCAGGCGGTCACTGTTGGCTGGTCAGCGAGCGCTTCTTTCAGTCCGTGACTCCTTTTACTCTGCACTTACAGGGGAAACGGCTGTTCTTGTAAAATCCGAACGATCGACGACCGTTCTGTGGGTAGGACTTGAACATTCAGATCGCGAAGGCAGTCATGCTCAGATGGCTTTTCAACTATGTTCTCCGTGAGTACTCGATCATTCTAGGGCAGTTCTTTGGCACCCACACTCGTGGTCGTCTTGGGTCAAGCCAGCCAGATCCATGAATAGATCGGGCCTCTCCTAACGGGCTCCTGGCTGGATATTCCTCTCTGGCGTACGCCTAGGGGTAGCCGAGATCTCAATAGCTACCCAAAACGTGTCACGGCCCGCCTCGATAGCGGTCACTTCCGGTGTAATTTTGATGTTTGGTGCCTGGTAAGATACCTCCATCGTACGCGGCAGGGTGGTGAAGCTATCAAGTGGTGATGACGATGATGGAAAGTGGCTTCCAGGGGGTGAAAGATACTCTGTTTGGCCTATTGTACGAGACGAAAAGGGCAACTCTTCCTTGAGCATACAGTCTCTGTCATATATGTTGCTCAATGGTGGGCGTATCATGGCAGGGCGTCGCATCTCGTATGCCGCCGGCAAAGTATTGCATGAGAAAGGAGATCCTGAGCGGTTCTGGTCGAGCTGTGCCCTCGTATGTACCTGTGCTTGTCTCTTCTTCTTGACTGATAGTTGCGTCGAAGGTGTGGCTCCAATAAATCGAGGCGAACTACCATATTGCGTCCCGTACTTGGCCTCATGCATGTTTCGGCTTGTATAAGCATTCGGGGTCGAATTGTTATTGAGTGTCCTCACATTCTCTTTTCCTGTAGTTGATGGCTGTGTGTCAACCTTTCGTCTCTTGGCAACCGTCAGTGGCCCGTCTCCTTGGAAGCTTTGGCAGTGCTTCATGCTATTGTATTTGAATGAATTTTCTGCATGCTGGGTATCTTGTCGCAAGTTCTCGTTATATCCCGTAACTCTGAGCGGACTCGGTTTCTCGTGTAAAGTTGTACGGTCAAGGGTATCCAGATCCACCCAAAAGGGGAGGTCGTAGCCACGGGTCGTCATTGTATGTGCAAGTCTTTGCCAGTAAGATCGATTTACAATAAAAAGCTGTCCTGCTCAGTCGTTCTCGTGCGAGCAATCTACTTCTTTCGATGTGTTGCTTGATGGTTGGATACTGGCAGTAGCAAAAATGTTGTAGGCTGGACAAATGACAATCTGATATCTCTGCTCAACTTAACTCGGGCGTCGACAATGATTCAAATCAATGAAAACCCGAGAGATAGAATGGAAGCATTATTCATACAAAAAGCAGGAAGATGATAATGTCTTTGAAGAAGGAATGTTCTTTGTAATGGTTCTAATGGAGGGGACGGAGCCAATATCTTGGGGGTATCAGAGTTGCTCCTGCGGTGTGAGAAATCATAAAAGCAATCCGAGAAGCAACTGGCAGGCTCGACATGAGAGTTCATTTCACCACTCTTTCCTCATCTTACAAAATAATACTATCAGAGCAACACACTAACCCGTTTACGTTCAATCGCTCAACTATCCGAGTAAAAGCCCATCAATGAAAAGTTAACCGCCATACAATTAGAACAAGGCATATAGCCATCCTATAGCCCTATCCGACATCTAAATCTGACCGAGGGTTCGGCGAAGATTGTCCTTTACCGAATCGATATCGGTATGCTCCATCGCAAGGAACTTGATCTGTTAAAGTTAGCAAAGTCCCTATCTCAATATAACAGTAACAGCATAAACTTACCAGGTCGTCCGACATTTTGGTCTCGCCGTAAAGAACGGGCTCTGATAAACTAGAAGAAACATTCTTCTTGACTCGATCCTCCCACACCCCATCCCAATTCCATTCTCCAGGCCGTCTCGGTGTTGCAGATTTCGTATTCTCTGTAGCTTGTTGCTCATCCTCCTTGCTGGTTTGTCCTTCTTCTGTTGTCTCATCCTCTACGAGCTTTCCTGTTGCTTTTCGGTGCGTCCTCCATGCGTGCCATGCTCCTGGGTTTCCTGCTGCTGCAAGGGGTACTGAGTCTAGAACCGCTTCGTCGTCAAAGGCGCTGCGGATGTAGTGTAGGACTTCATAAGCCGAAACACTCTTGTGCCCAGTGCGCATGTATGCGGGTGTTTCTTGTACTGCTGGTGTTGTAGAGTTGCTTGCACCAGCGTCGGGGCTTGTTAGGCGCTGTTGGTCGGTATGTCTCGCCTCTGCCATGCTCCGTCTACCTCGTCCGAACCAATCCGGGAAACCATGGCGCAAGCTGAATCCTCCGGGTGGTAATCTCTCCTGATCCGATGCGCTCACGGTGCCGCTTTCTTGGATGTCGGTTGTGTACATGTATGTTGTTAAAGGTGTGATAAGAGGATGGAACATGTCAGTCGTGAAGACGACTAGGGGCGGAAGCTGAGGATACGAGTCGGGGAAAGATATTTGAAATCTGAGTATGGCAGGGCAGTAGGGTCCTATCATGACTGGTCAGTATCGCGACATCGACACTGCTATAGTATCGCTTACCTTTGCGAACAAAGAGTACGCCGGACCAGAGTGTGGCATCTCCTGGGGTGAGACTAACAAACATGCCCTCGGGACAAGCCTGCTTGAGTCCAGCGCTGGAGTTTGCTGTTAGCTGAGACCATTGCGCAAGTGTTAGTCGGCGTAACGAACAATTCGGAGAGGAGCTGCTGTTTGCGCAGCGAAGGCAATGCGCTCATATTTAGAGACGGCATTGTGGATTAAGCCAATTGACTATAGAGATTATGGTGTACTTTAACAAGAAGGGGGTCGGGATGCCTGGAAAGGGACAGGAAATGCTGATACTGAGGTTGCAATAGAGCTTTGTGGTTGTTTAGATGATGGTACATGCGCCAGCTTAGGAGCTATGCTTTGCGATCTGGTAGGCGGTGAAGCTAATAATCAACCGACAGCGGGGTACCTTTAGAACGTTGAAGTCATGAGGAGCTGCAAATGGGCGTGCGAACGTATAAACCAATATGAAATTTCCTTGAGAATAAGTTAAACAAGATTGGCTGTTGATGTACCATCTTGGAATCCGTTTGGTTGTAAAGCAGATCATGACAGCTCTTTACAAGTACTTATCCATTGTCATGACACCACTTCCACAGGCGCTACCCTATACTCCCTCCAAAGTTTCTGCCATGGGGATAATTGCTAGTCGCGATCCATGGCGGGGTCATGCCAGAGGGGTAATTATCCAAGATCACAATCATGCCAACGAGAAATATCTCTATATTCAAGTCTATCCTCCAGGATTACTCCACCTCATTGAGACTCGTAATCATAAATCGTAGCATAATCTCAGCTGTGAAAAGAAGCCGCAAGATGCCACCCCACATATGGTCTAGGTATTCCCTAAACACGAATTCCCATCATAAAACTTTTTGTACCATGCCTCGCAAACCGGAAAAAATGAAAAGAAAAATACATGAGGTCCTTATCGTCCGAGGCGCTGCTCGATCTTGGCCTTCTCCTGTGAGCGGATGGTCGCCAGGTCGTCCCTGGTGGCGTTGTATGAGGCTGTGACTTGGTTGAAAGGGTTGTCGGGGTGCTTCTCGAACTCCTTTCGGATTCTGGTCTTTCGTTGATCCAGACGCAGACCGACACCGCTGCCGTCCTTCTTCATCTCGTCGAGTCGTCGCTCCTCGTACTTGGCGTATGCGGCGGGGTATCGTCGCTCGGGATGTCGGTCGACCTTTCCATCGTCCTTGCCTCCTGTCAGAGACAGAGCATCGAGGGCGTTATCGATACCGGTGGCGTTGATGTCTGAAGGCTTGTCGTCGTCGAGTTGCGAAAGGTCAAGACCGCGCGACTTCTTGACAGGAGCCTTGCTCTTCTTGGGGCCCTTTGCGGGAGTGTTGGCATCATCCTCAGCCTCTAGAGCGGCCTTCTCGGCCTTCTTTTTCTCAGCCTCAGCAGCCTTTGCGGCGGCTGCTTCCCTACGCGAAGCGCGTCAGTGACCTCGACAACCTACACCAGCATTTATCAGGTACTCACTTTTTGGCGTTGCTCTTGGCTCCCTTGTTCCACTTGTCGGCCTCGGCGGCTTCTTGACGAGAGTCCTCCGCGGCTTGCTTCTGGGCAGCTGCTTCTGCCTTGCGGGCATTGCCCGCAACCTTCTTGCTGTTGTCGCCTTTCTGTTTACCGGCCATTGCGAAAAGTTTCGGGAAGTGGGCGATTCAAGATGTGCGTATTATTGGGGTAAAAGAAACGAGCCTGTCGCAAATCGGAATGTTAGTCGGCTATTCAGTGTGATAAGAAATGTCGAAATGGGTTGTCGAGGTATTTATGGTGCTGTTCACTTACTTTTGTCTGGTAGGAACCTAAAGATTGAAAAGTTGCGATGTCGTAACTAACGTCGGAGTCAGAGTGGAGGGTGGTGCCCAACCGATGACGGATTGGATGCCTGGAAACCCTGAATAATCGGATCGTACAGTGTCAGAATGTAACTGTTTGCGTACTGTGTTTGAATATCATCTTGGACACTGATGTCGATTCAGTAAATTGGGGGCAAAAATGCGTTGATTCTATAAAACTGGATAGAACTGAAAACAAAATAAGTTATTTATGAACATAGAAATTCTATGCGCAAGAGAAAGCATTATAATGAGAACATCAACCCGTTATCGACTTAGCTTTGTACTCTGGGCATCATTCGCAATGGCTCCATCCAGGTCAAACCATGGTTCCCTTATGAAGACTTGACCGATATATCGGAAGATATCTTTTAAAGTTTCCCATTCTGAGAGATGCGGAAAACCTGAGTTTCGCTGCCTAAACCGTAAGTATTTTGGCCCTTCTCAGCAATTCTTGTATGCAACAGTTGAGGTTGTTCAGCAACTGCTGGCTGACCAATACAATCCTCGGTCGTTTCCCAATAGAGTCATGTACGTCGACTCGAAAAGGAAATATTTGCCGCCATAATCCTTCGAGCCTCGACAATAACATATCATAACTTACATGCTCTCATTTGACTCCCTTGTACAACCACGGGATCACCGATAGACCTTGGCAGTTTGCGTAGCATCACATCAGCATCAGGTACGCTGCTCACCATCCTCGCTTACAATATGTCGTGGCAGTTTCTCACAGTCGCATTTCAGTTCGGCTCTGATGCGAACTGTCATGAGCGAATCAGAAGCTGGCATGCTGTGAGACTTGAAGGGTGTTTTGGAGTGTCTTCGGAGGTACAAAGACACAATGACAAAGAACGTTCCCTGGCCATGACAATAGCAGCGACGTGCATCAATAGTCGAAACAGGTTGCTCACATGCCAACCTTCAGCCTCAACACAAAGGACGCTTGACATGGGGGTTTGGACCGAAACGTCGTGTTACACAACGTCGGACTCTGTTAAGAGCCGTTGACAATCGGAGAGAATAATGAAGGCAACAGAGTCTCTGTAGCACGGAGTTAACTTTGGGTAACCCACGTCACTCCAGCATCACCAACTACGCGCTTATACCGCTCCGGTTGCCAATCAACTTTTGGCGTTTCAGAGACGACTATTGCCTCGCCCTGTCACCAAGCGTACTGCAATCAAGCCACGCTGCCTTTGGCAATAGTATTGTGAATGACAGTCTTTGACCATGTCCGAGTTGTGGTTGGTTACAATCGGCCCGTGACAACACCATCATATCCCCTCTCAGTAATGTTTCTGACCTTCTATGCCTCTGTCATGCAGCTCCCGAACCGCGGGATCGGGACGGTGGACGGGCCCGATCACCCAAATAGGAATTGTTCTCTGAACGGGCAACCAACTCGGGTGCTGTCCCGTAAGCCGCGAGGCCCAAGGGCTCATGGCTCAAGCACGCAGGGCTGACCAGGTTGTTTTAGTCTCCTGCGTGACAACGAGACAAGATGGGCGTTGATTCCACAGGGTACGCTGAGGTCGTTGGAGCCGGGGATAACCCCCTGTATGGTCGGTCATTGACGAATGTCGTCTAAAGCCATTCGGAGGCAGCAATTCATTCCCTTGCCTTCCATGGAGGCTGACGAGAACACAAACTTGTGCTGACCGTACATGGGAGTCAAGTCTGTATCCGGTATGATCGGATATAGGAACCTGCTGAGCAGTATAGTATCTTGGCAGGATGGCGATGGCAACTCACCAATATCGGTTATAGTAAGCATATACCATGCTTCAGCCGCTCGTGATAATTAGGCATCCAAGGCATTTGCTTACGCAAACCCAGAAGCGACGCAGACCCTTGTGGACTTTATCCTCAAAGAAGAATATCCCAGAGATAATGCGACTTTCGACGTTGCCTCTTTGCACCAACATGAAGATAAGGCAATCCGGATCATGTACCCGCGGCATTAGGAGCGGGATTATCAAACATTACTCCCTGGTCTCCCTTGAGATTTCCATTCAAACCTTGTCAATTTGCAACCTCGACGTCAAGACTGAACATCGTACTGTATTTGTGCTCACCGACTGGTGAGACCTTAAGATACGTCAGATTCAACAAGACGAGGTTTCAATATCCCTTGGTCCGTTTTCTCGATTCGGTGAGCTGCATAGCAAACGAAAATACCAGGTCCGTTTGAAAAGATCCTTCCAATGCCGAAAATAGTAAAGAATCCTTGTCGTGCGTATTAACAATGGCGAGTCGCATCCGATTCCTTGTGTGACATCGAAAATGTGGCTTTATTCCCGTGTTCGTTTGGAGGCAAATCACAGAGTAGCGAGCGTAGCATAATAGCCAAGGGTTGTCCTCTCCTGGAAGGGTATGTCGCAGACTCATCAGGTGCTCAATGCTAGTCGATATGGGATTTGAGACCTTGAATGTCTTGTAGGTAGGGTGGTATGGGCTAGGTACCGCAAGTGTAGACCAGTTTCAGTGTCAAATGGACATTTGAAACATTTTATTCCCGTACAAGTTGACTCAATAAATGCATACTGACATGCTGATGTCAGTGACAAGAAGGAAGCGTGTGAGGATCGTGATCACTACTGCAACTGTGTCTGAGTATCACTCGCGAAGAGATACTCGAGGGTGCAAACGGCATAGCTTGATCAAGGCACAGGAGAACCATGTTGAAGCCTGGAAAAAGCCGTAGGCGAGTTTTAGGGCGCTTACATGAGTCCCGAAAGAGCCACGAATAGGATCATATCGTACAGTAATATTTGTGGTTGAAAATGCAGACAGACAGATCGATGTATGCAGAGTTACATGCGTACGTGCCAAGTCATGCCGCCCGCAAACTCAGATGGTAATGAGTCGCTATACCTGTACTGTATCGTACTATCAAGGGTACGTTCGGCTGTGAGACTGTGCCGTGTCTGAGCCCTAGGATTATTGGCTTCACAGCCAGGATGTCCGTACACTGACAACTGTTTTCCCTTTGCACGCGAGACTGCATTTTGGAAGCGAGATGTGACGAATCACTCAGCCATGGTGCTGTAATGCACAATGCCAGGCAAGGTAAATCATGTCGTTCTCGACTTTTGTCTCAACTGCAACTGCAACTGCTGTCACCGCCGGTACAACAGCAGGACGCAACATTGAGCGAGCCTTGTTGAGGGCCCGGTTTCTTCACCTCTTTTCTTCACCCAAACACGGCTCACATTCATGGTCTTGCTCATGCACACCCATCCCATCCATGGTGATGATGACAGCGACAGAGCCGAAGCGAGCCCCATGCTGTGCAACGTCGGCTCTCAATCATAGTGTTGTTTGTTTTATGCGGGGGGCCGGTGAGATCTAAGCGCTGGCAATGGATGGATACTCTCGACTCTGTATGTAACGACAGTATGTACATACTGGATGGACCTAGTCTTTGATGTGCTGTTAGTAAAAAGCAGGGCAAGGCATCTGAGTCAAAAGCCAAGGCAAAAGACTCTTAGACAACTTGCAAGGGTCGCTCAGGAATGGATCGACAGCAAGGGACCTGGAGCACGACCAAGTGAGACACGACAGGGCAGGGCAGGGCAGGCCTCGTTTGAGTGAATAATTGCAAAGTGCGTCAAAAGTCAAAGCCGTTTTATGGAGAAATCTGCCATGTCTTGGTCTGGGCTGGTCGATGTAAGCTGGAGTCGGTGAAGTAGAACAACCTCACCGAGTCCAATAACGATGGCGTGTTTGATTAATTCACTGCCTCTCTATATGTATTGTTGTCGCCTCGGGGCAGGGTAAAACTAATGTATGCCTGCCTTGTTGTATACCTTACCTCCTCCATAATGGCAGCATCGTCCAATCGCGATGGGTAGATGTGCGGCGTAGGCGGGAAGAGAAGTTAGTGATCAAGGCTGCAGACGGGAGATTGCGAAGCCGAGAGTACGGGCAGAGGAAGGAACAATAATTACAGTACCTGCCTGGGTACAGTAAAGCAAAAGTAAAAACAAAATATGGGAAGGAGCGACCCGGTGATCTGGAACCGCCTTGCCTGCGAGTGCCAGATCATCAGCGAGATTCCCATGTGGAAACAGAAGAGATGAATGATGATGTCAGAGGCAGTCTAGTAGAACTAAAACTAAAATGCTGTAAAACATCCATACATTCTGCTCATCCACCTCCATCCATCGATATGTACAGTACGGTGTAAGTCAAACTATCGTGAAGTCGCACGGGGGAAAAAGTCAATGCATGGTGAACGGACGTCATCAACGAAAACGGTCTCGAAACACTAACATAGCCAACTGATCACCATGCCATGGCATCCATGACGGATAACGAGGAGAAGCGGGGCCATGCACAAGTCAAATCAAATGAAGACAAGACAAGTCAAGGTCGGGCTCTGTTTTGTTTGAGGATCAGGCTGTAACATGCAACAACAAAATGCAAAATGCATATTGGATGCATATGCATACAAATAGATGGTCGGTCACAAATCAAGACGAAACTTTACTGGGCAATCGTATCAAAGACCCTTACTGTAAGCTTTGTCTAGCAAATTAGTTGCATTTTCACCACCAAATAATAAAACGAAACCGGTCAAGATTGTCCTTTACCCGCGCCCAAGGTTCCACTATTCTATTCCACTGAAGCAATCTATCTCCAGGTTCAGGCTCTTTGACTCTCCCTTCGCAACTCAACTTGTGACTTGTCTGCGAACTATTGGTACTTTGAACGAATGGTGGAGAGCAGCACTGCAAGGAGTTGAAACTTTGGCAGGTATCCGTACCTTATGATACAGTCATCATCGTGAC